GCATGGGGGCTCCTGCGCCTTCTGCTCGCGCTCTCGAAATGGTAGCTGCTCAGGGTCTCGACCGCCCGATGCTGCGGGAGTATCGGTCCTATAATGTGAACAGGAGGAGGAAGAGGAGGAGGAGGAGAGGAGGAGGAGGAAGGAGGAGGAGAAACACTGCGAGGGGGGGGGCTGGGGTCGCAGGAAGCAGGAGAGGGTTGGGGGGAGAAGGAGGTGGAGGATGCCCTCCCCCCTCCCCCTCCTCCTCCACCCCCACCTTTCCACATCCTCACATCCTCCTTTCGCTCCTGCCTTTCCTTCTACACCTCCTCCTACGTCCTCCTTCTCCTCCTCCTTCTCCTCCTCCTCCTCCTTCTCCTCCTCCTTCTCCTCCTCCTTCTCCTCCTCCTCCTCCTCCTCCTCCCTCACTCCCGCCCTGCCGCCCTCCCCCCCTCCGTCCTGCTTCCCGTGCCTCTCTCCTTCGCCCTGCCTGGAGGAGGAGGGAGGGAGGAGGAGGAGGAGGAGGAGGAGGAGGAGGAGGAGGAGGAGGAGGGGAAGGACGAGATGGAGGAGGAGAAGGACGAGGACCAGGAGAAGGAGAAGCAGGAGGAGGAGGAGGAGGAGGAGGAGGAGGAGGAAAGACCAGTATGATTCCAAGTCGCACGAACAATGTTGGAATAAACCCTTCCTGCCGGCTCGTCCTGCAGAGGCCCCTGCAAGAATTCATTTCCACTCTCGGGACTCCAGCGCCACGAATCAACATGACTGTTGCGTCTAGACGATCCGGAACCGTACCAAAACACCAAACGTCAACACTGCGAAACAACGTAACTGTTGCGCCCTCACAATCTGGAGTCATTCAAGCATTTTGTTGTTTGCAAGTTGGCCATGGGATTCCGTGAAACTCTTGCAAATGTTTTAGTCGAGCGTGCTAGGCGCTAGGGCGAGCACCAATTTTGAAAACCACCCGCCCTCAATCAGAGAAGCTCTTGCAACATTTTGGAACGAACGTGAACGGCGTTAATGCGAGAGCTACAATTTGAGAACCACCCGCCTTCACTCCGTGAAATTCAGGCACATTTTTATTACTAACGAGTGTGCGCGGCGCTAAGGCGAGAAGTACATGTTGAAAACGACCCGCCCTCAATCCGTAAAACTCTCGAACATAAAAAACGAATGTGCGCGGCGCTAAGGCGAGAACCACATTATGACAACAACCCGCTCTCAATCCGTGAAATTCTTGCACATTCCTAAAACGAATGTGCGCGGCGCTGGGGAGGGAGCCACGTTTTGAAAGCCACCCGCGCTCCATCGGTGTAGCTGTTGCCAATGTTTCACGTTCAGGGTCGTAAATAGCGAAACGTCCAGCCCGCCCTGTTCACCGGCCTCGGGGTGCGACAGTGAATAATATATATATATACATACGGAAAAGGAATGGAGGAGGGGCAGGCGGAGGAGGAAGGTGACCAATACTGCACTGCCTCCGCAAGCATACTTCGGTCGCTTACACGCAAGAGTGGGCAGCAGTGACCGTTGGTGCGTGGCTGTCAAGGAAGGGGGGGGGGGGGGGGGGAAACCATAGCGCGCAAGCCGCTGCTACCACATCGTATCTGGCGGTCGGGAGGCCCCAGTGGTCCCGCACTGAAGATCACTCCGGCGCAGGGTCCCTTTGACGTGCAGCCGCTTCGTGCCTGGATACTGCCTCCGGGCCGTGCCAGGGGCCGACATCCACAAGGCCTCGGCCCAGTTCGGGCTTGTGGAGGCTCGCCGCCTGGTATAAGGCTTCGGGCTGAGCACGGACAGCCACCCCAGGCAGTCCAGGCTTGCCTCAACAGGCCCCCCGCTCGCAACCGCTCGGACGTCCACTCCCCGTGCCTTTTTCGACTTCGTGCGTGCATTTTTCGCAAGATGATCCAGGATGCTCCTCGATGGCCCTCGCCGAGGAAACGATGCACACGTCAGAGCGATGCCAGGCCCGAGTAGTCTGGGGCGGTCTCAATATCCCAACTGATCAGCCCCGACCCTGGGGCGCGGAACGCGCGCCAGGGGCGCCGCTGGAGGTGGCGCCGGGGGGGCCTCTTGAGGCCAGCCATGGCCACCCGGGGCGGCTGTCCGTGGGCGGCCCGAAGCCGCACCACTGTGGAGGCGTGCCGCCCGCCCCAATCCTGGATGCGGTCGATCTCTGGATCCTTCAGCCGCCGCGAGGCCGTGTCCCGCATGAACGCCGGCACGGTGATCATCTGCGCCTGCGCCTGCGCCGTGCTCTCGAACTGCTGCACCTTGGGAGGGCGAGGGGGTACCGATGCCGCCACGGCACGCAGACCATGCCATCCGGGCGTCGTACTCTCTTCACCGCGGGCGGTCTTGTCCAGTTTCGGGTCCCAGGACCAGCACAGATCGATCCGGCTCGAAAGCTGGCGCAGACAAATCGCGTCGAGGGCTCCGCTCGTGATCTCTTGCGACGTTGCAACTCTTGTCCGCACCGTCGGATGGCAGGGAAAGTGCCAGCACCGCTACTGCACAGGCTCCTCACGACGGGCTGCGTCCTGGCCAGTGTCTCGAGGCGGACCCAGCCCGTGGCGGCGGCGACAGAGTGCCAGTCATCGGTGCTTCTTTCCTTCCCTGGCACCTGGCGCTTGGTGAGCATGCCGTACAGGTGGTACACCAGCGCCTCCGCTGCGCCTGTTGCGCAGTGGATGACTGGGTCTATCAAGTGCTTCGAGATCTGGATGCCGTCCTTCGAGGAAAAATCAAGTATGAGCATGAACATTCAGAGCTCCGCACGTGATTGTTTACCGGCGCTGGGTCCCCTCCACCCTAGGGGGTCCAGAGCAGATCCAAGAAATCCGCCCAGAGCCCTGAAAGTTTGTGGTCATGCCTGTGTTTGCCTTCGTTGAGTCCTTGGAGCCCTTCTTCTTGCAGAACTTGTAGATCAGCTCCCAGTTGTCGACCTTGGCGGCCAGGCGGGTCCCGTTCTCGAAGTTGTTCATGTTGATGTCCTTCAGGTAGTAGCGCGAGAGGATCTCCGCCGTGAGGTAGCCGTTGGCGAAATCCCGCCTGGGGTTCTTCACGGCGAACGAGAGGTCCAAACCTGTGCCATGTGTGTCTGAGCGATTGGCTGCCATCTCTTTTGAGCAGGGACCAACCGTCCTGGCATTTCTGTAGTCCTACCACGAAATTCTCTTAGAACCCCAAACATGTTCCAAGAACAAACACATTGCTCTTAGAACAGAAGCCCGATGGGATAACACAAGACAGCCCCGGCCAGAAATGTTCTAAGAACATTTCGTGGAAACCACAAAAGGTTCTTAGAACATCGTTTGGTGGGGCTCCAGGCTAGCCAGGACGCTTCGCCACTGCTTGAGCAGTGGCTGCCACGCCGACCGCAGGACCGCGAGGTCACGATCCTGCGCGCTGCCGGGCAACGGGCACGATCGCCGTGGCTACCACGCGCCGACCGCAGACCGCATCCCGACGCCTCTCCCCAAGTCGGGACAGCCCTCTCTCCCTCCCGCTCCTCCCGCTCCTCCTCTCGATCCTCCTCTCGATCCTCTCCCTCCCTCCCGCTCCTCTCGATCCTCCTCTCGATCCTCTCGATCCTCCTCTCGATCCTCTCCCTCCCTCCCGCTCCTCCCGCTCCTCTCGATCCTCCTCTCGATCCTCTCCCTGCCTCCCGCTCCTCTCGATGCTCCTCCACGCCGCCCTGCCCCAAGACCCCGCCGCAGCCGCCGTGGCGGTCTCCGCGGCCGCCGCCGCCGTCCTCGCCCTCCTCCTCCGAGTCAGAAGCCGCAGCACCGCCACGGGGCCCTCGGGCGAAGGCGTGCTGCCGTCGGTCTCCGGTGCGGTGCCCCCCCCGGCTTGTGGCGGGGCGCCCGGCCACGGACACTGTACCCTGCTGGGGACGAGCCCGTCAGCAGTCCCCTCGATGCGCCCGGCGTGAGCCCTCCTGGGGAGAAGAGCTTCGGTGGGACAGCTAGCATCAAAAACCCTCTGGGGTCACTGGCTAAGCAGAATTCCGCCCATCATGCCCCAGACTTTGCACATCGCTGGCAGTCCAGGGGCGAGCACTTTGCTGGGGGCGAGCCCGTCCGTATTACCAGCCTCGAACGTATCCCTATCCCTAAGATTGGCACGCCAAAAGGCGATGACAATCTTAGGGATGCGCCCTCAAAGAATAAAGGAATCCCTAAGACTGGCATCGTGATGAGGAGGTGCCCAGCATAGGGATAGGGAGATGCTCCAGGCTGGTAACAGTAGTCCCCTCGATGCGCACGGCGTGAGCGCTCTTGGGGAGGACGTCGGCGTGACGGGTGTTGGCACCGCTCGCCGACCGACGTCTGCAGCAGATGCAGAAACCGGGTCGTGCCCGGCTTCACCTCGGGCTCCACCGCTGGGCATCCGAGCGGAGGCCGACGCGACGTGGGACTTCACCCGACGCGGCGGTGGCGCCGCCAGAGTAGGACCATATCCACTGCTGCTGGGTCTCCTCCTCCTCCCTCCTCTTCCTCCTCCTCCTCCTCCTCCTCCTCCTCCTCCTCCCTCCTCTTCCTCCCTCCCTCCTCGTCCTCCTCCTCGTGTTCCGAGGACTCGGGGACGGGCGGACATGGAGAGCTGCCCGCCAGTGCGGGCGGGCAGATATCCACATCCACCGCTCCTCGAGATCCCATGGGACGACTCCGAAGCGGTGGACGTGGACACATTCTGGCGGTGGAGGCGGTGCCTCCTTCGCGAGCCCCCGCGCAACCGAGTACACCCCCAGCGCCTCCCGTACTACCTGCTGGCTCTCTGCCAGACGGCACTGCACTCGATGACCTTGCTCGTGGTGGCACTGCACTGCCCTGCGTGCGCCGATCGACGACTCCCAGGACTTTCACCACTCTGCCGCCCCGCAGCGGCAGGACGGCAGGCTTCGCGCCTGCCTCGCCGCGGCGCGGAGGCTCTGGCAGAGAGGCGCCAGATGCGGTAGGTTCGCGTCGCGTCGACCGGCCGCGAACCCGCCGCCGGCGTTCACAGCTGAACGCCGCCTGCGAAGCAGAACCGGTCGAGGCTGAACGATCTGACGTTTCGGAAGCGGCGATCGACCGATTCCCGCGGTGTCAGGAACCAACGCGTATGTCGGGCGTGTCTACAGGGAGATTTTCGACGAAAAACAAAAATGCACCAAACATAATAAAACAATACTCCAAAAATAATATGGGGACTATTTTTTGAATATTTGTTTTGTTTTTTGGGGCATTTTGGGTGTATTTTCATTTTTCGTCGAAAATCCCCCTGTAGGGGGGACAGGCCCGAATTCCCATCATCAACGTACCAGGCATGGTGTTTGGAAGGATTCAGGATCATGCGGGTGCAGCAGTTACGTTGATTCTCTGTGTAGCAGTCTTAGGAATGGCGTTCTGGCACGAGTCAGGATCGTCAAAACGTAACAGTCAGGTTGATCCGTGGCGCTGGAGCCCCGAAAACAATGTTTTGGCATGCTTCAGGGTCTTCGAACGGGTGTCTTCCAACACGGCAGTTCCATCAATGGAAATGAAACGTTGTAGGGTAGGGAGCCTATCGTTGATGAGAGGGAGCTTGGAGGGAGGCCTTACTCCAACATCGTTGACACTCTTGGTGTCTTTTCCATCACTCCTCCTCCTCCTCCTCCTCCTCCTCCTCCTCCTCCTCCTCCTCCTCCTCCTCCTCCTCCTCCCTCCCCCTTCCCCCCTCCTCTCTCCTCCTCCTCCTCCTCCTCCTCTTCTCCTCTTCTCCTCCCCCTCTCTCCTCTCTCCTCCTCCTCTCCTCTTCTTTCCTCCTCCTCCTCCTCCTCCTCCTCCTCCTCCTCCTCCTCCTCCTCTCCTCCTTCAGCCTTGCCCCTCCCTTCCTTCAGCCCTGCCCCTCGCCTTGGCGGCGCGCGCAAGGGGTGTCGGGGGCAGGCTTCTTGGAAGGAGCCTGCTTCTCAGCAGGCGCCAGCCCTGCATCTACAGAGGAGGCCCGCGCCCTGCAGGAAGCAGGGGTGCTTCTGAGAAGCCTTCCCCCCTCCCTCTGCCCCCCTCAGCGCGTGGCCGACCCCCCCCCCTCCTCTCTTCTCCTGCCACGACTCCCCCTCCTCCCTCCTCTCCTCCTCCTCCTCCCTCCTCCTCCTCCTCCTCCTCCTCCTCCTCCCCTCCTCCTCTTCCTCCCTCCTCCGCCCTCCTCCTCCTCCGCCCTCCCCTCCCTTCCCTCCCTCCCTCCCCACCCTCTCCCTCCCTCCCTCCTTCCCTCCCTCCCTCCCTTCTTCCTCCCTCCCTCCCCTGCCCCCCTCCCCCCGCTTCCTCTCCCCCTCCTCCTCCTCCTCCCCCCTCCTCCCTCCTCCCTCCCCCCCTCCCCGCCAGGTCCCCAAGCGGCCCAGCGAGAAATGGCAACGGTCCTGTGGACAGACGCCGGGATCGCCTCGCCCCATCCCCCCCCCCACGCGCCTCTCCCCCCCCTCCGCCCCGCTCCTCCCCTGGACTGTGTGGGACCGCAGGGATGAGGCCGAGCTGACTCTTCTTGCGATCTCTGCGCCGTGCTTCCGATCCAAGCAGTTTCAGGCCTTTCAGCATGGCGATCCCGCTGCAGCTTCTGCCTCTGTTCTAGGATCGGCGCTTCGCTCCCGTCGTTCAGAGTGGCGTTCTCGCCCCAGCGTGTGCCATATCTCTGAAACCGGTTGCTTCCTCGTCGCTGTCGCCCCCTTCGTTTCCCCTCCCCCGCCATTCGCTGGTCCTCCTATTCATCCCGCTCTTTGTACTCCTGCTCCTGCTGCTGCTGCTGTTCTTCCGCGTCCACCTCCTTCATAATCTCCCTCCTCCTGTTCATCCTCCTCCTCCTCCTCATCCACCCCGCCTCCTCCTCCACTGTGCGCCGCTCCCCTCGTCCGATTGCGCAAGTCACGGTGGATTTCCTGTGGGTTCCACGTCCGCTGAGATCCTCGTCGGCGGACGGAGCAAAACGTCAGCGCACTGGGAAAGGATGGGAGAAATGGGAGGGGATGCCTGATGTGGCGCGAGCGCGCCTGGTTGGTCTCCCCCGCTCTCCTCCCTCTCCCCCATGCCTCCCTGGCCCTCCTCTTTCACCAGCGCACCTCCTCCCCCTCCTCCTCCTCCTCCTCCTCCTCCTCCTCCTCCTCCTCCTCCTCCTCCTCCTCCTCCTCCTCTTCCTCCCCCTCCTCCTCCTCCTCCTCCTCCTCCTCCTCCTTCCTCCTCCTCCTCCTCCTCCTCCTCTCCTCCTGCTCCTCCTCCTCCTCCTCCTCCTCCTCCTCCTCCTCCTCCCTCCTCCTCCTCCTCCTCCTCCTCCTCCTCCTCCTCCTCCCCCCTCCTCCTTCTCCTCCTCGTCCTTCTCCTCCTCCTCCTCTCCCCTCCTCCTCCTCCTCCTCCTCCTCCGTCCTCCTTCTCGTCCTCGTCCTCCCCTCCTCCTCCTCCTCTCCTCCCTCCCTTCTCCTCCCCTCCTCCCTCCCCCCCTCCCCTCCTCCCCCTCCTCCCCCTCCTCCCTCCTCCTCCCTCCTCCTCCTCCTGCTCCTGCTCCTCCTCCTCCTCCTCCTCCTCCTCCTCCTCCTCCTCCTCCTCCTCCTCGTCCCCCTTCTACTCCGAGGCCCTGGCTCTGGAGCCACTTGATGATCTCCCTGGGCAGCGGCTGCACGGTCGGCCCCGGCGTCGGCAGCATCGTGGCCGCCGCCATTTCGGCGGGACCGGTGCGCGCTCGCGCGCGCGGGCTGCGGCGCGGCGCAGCCCGCGCCCACCTCTCGCTGCGCCGCCCGCCGACGCGGCTCCGGAATGGCGGCGTCCCGCCCGCGTCTCCCCTCGCCTATCCCTTGTCCCCTATCCTTCTCACTTGCGCTCGCGCGCGCACCATGTACAACCGGACGTGCAGCCGCGCACGCACACGGAAACACACACAGACACAGCACGGCACACACACACAGACACACACACACACAAACACACACACATTATCGCCGCAGCGGGGAGAGAACGAGGTCAGGAGTGCGAAAGGGGTCAAGCACTGAGAAATGGTCTCGGGTGAGGGATCCTGAGACATTTCACTGGCTCATGCCAGTTTAGAGCAGCAGTGCCGTGTGCGGGCATCAGGTGCTCCACCGTACACGGCACGGCCTGGAGCGAACGCTCGCTGCTCGGAGGTGGTTGGAGAAAAATCGATTATACGTTTTTCTCTTCTGAGTACCGCATCCCCTTCTAGACACGATCTACCTGTGCGGAGACCGACGAGAGCAGCGGCCCGTACAGTTCTGACTCACACACTGGTGTCGCGCGCTGAGAGTTGTGAAAGTTGTTCTTCACGGCTCGGAGAGGTGTCTGGCAGCTGGTATCCATATTCTTTATTGTTGGTATTGTTTGTTTCTCTGAGCACATGCCAGGGAAAGCACGGCTATTGTTGCCTTTTCCTGCGACAACCCCCGAAGGGGTACTGGCAGAGTTCAATCAGATAAAAGCGGCACTGGTCGTGCCGAACGTAGCTGGATTGGAACAAGTACGTACTTGGGCATGGAAGCAAGCAGGCGAGGCCAAAGTACAGAATATATGTTGTGCACTGGCGGTGGCCATTGATTGTCTTGTTCCTGCGACCTGTGCATGGTGTACGGCAAATCGGGTAAAAGAATTTATGGTGGTGGAATTGTTTGTGGCATTGGCAGTGGCACGACTACGGGCAGAATATCGACGTGGACGATTTCCTAAATGGTTGGTGAGAGTGGCGAGATGTATGGCGCTGGGCACATTTGAAGAACTCATGATTACTGGATCATGTTTTGAATTTCTACTGCGACAGATGCTCCAAGGCAAGATCTACAAAGAAGGTGGAGTTGTGTACATGTTATGGAGCTCGGCAGGGGTGTATATTGGCAAAGCATCAATGACGAGAGCAACGGGTCCTGAGATTGCGCAAATATGCGCAGAGCATGTACGACTATTACTGCGCCCAGGGAATAGAGATTCTAACAAAAAAAACGTTATGTGCAACATCGACGTGTATTGAGTACGGTCAATTTCATGCCAATTCTAGCGCTGGAATCACCGGCGAGAGTTACAGCGATGGAGAGTACTTTGATTGCGACGGAGGCACCAGATCTGAATCTAGCGGAGATGAGAGAGGAGACGCAAAAAAGAGGACGTGGGCTGAAGTTACCTGTGCGACGGGCTCCAAGAGTACGACCACCGCCTCGATTCAGAAAACCTGGCCCACAGAGTCAAGGGCCGCAGGTATTCAACTTACTGGATGGATCAACGGCGTGGGCGAGAAGAGTACCATCGGTGTGGTCGAGTCCACTCGTGCAGAATTTGGCGAACAAGAAAGAAGAAATAATTGTCGGAATACATCAGAAGCTCAAGGGATTGAACAAACTACATTGCAATGACCTGTACCGTTTCATGAGTCGGGAAAAGGCAGCAGCAACATGTGAATTTGGGCCATTGTGGTTGTTTGCATGCTAGAACAGGCAACTGTGTGCGACGTGGCTTGCAAGGAAGCAACAGATATTTCGTCTCCCGTGGTCATGGTGGGAATGGCAGATAGCACAATACTTGCATGGGCTACTACAAGAAATGGATATCCTGGTGGGTCATGTACCGCGTAAGCTACATTTCAAGGCAAACATTGAAGTATTACTCAAACGTCATCAGCTACCAAGCGGGTCTCCGAAGCCACTCCTATTACCGCCCGAGCTCATGAGGTATAAAAAATATGGGCAAACTCAATCCTGTGTTCATTAGATCATATCAGATGTGCGCCAGCGCGCACGTGGTTGCAAAAGCGTTTGAGGATTCAGCCAGCGAGCATCAAGACGTGGAAAGGCAGGGCGAACGGTAAAGCAAAGCTTCGGTACTTCAAGATTGAGAATATTCCAGGTGACCATATGGAAATTGGGCGAGCAAGTCAAGTACCAGGTCTTCGTGCAGTTGATGGTGCATGGAGGCTTCCCGGGAGAGCACGTGAGCATGAAGTGGGAAAGCAACTACGCACAACATGGCACAAGTGGGCAGCACAAGCACGGGTACATGCCAGGGCTCACGGTATTGGACGGGACAGGCTTCATCATTTTATGGCTCATTGGCCCCGTGAAGAGCGACCTGCAGCATGGGAAGAATTGGAGCAGCCTCTGAGGAGGGCAATAAAAGAAAAGAAGCTTCTTGTTGGAGATGATCGGTGTTCGAATCGAATGTGGGTGGTCGGAGCAGTGGAAGCATATTTATATATGTTATTAGCTAACTTGAAGGATAAGGTTGTGTGGCAGCGGTCAGATTTTTCCCTGGCGCATGTACAGCAAGTTCTGGAAGCAAGGGTACTGTGGGGTTTACCCGAATTTCTGCGCAGGAGAGTTAAGAAGGTGGATCCAACGCCGAGTATTTTTCCATTGGTGAAGTCGAAATGCTGGGAGCCAAATGGTGAGCATCGATGCGCATCGGGCCCACTACACAATTGTTGGCGCAAGGTCATAGACACCTCCCGCACGCCGTGCCAGGCAGGCTGGCGAGTCATCGCTCGCGCGATCAGGCGGGTGGTCACTGCATGTCAAGTTGCTGCGGAAGTTTTCAACCTTGACACCGTCAGGCAAGAGCTCGAAGCCGACATGAAACAACTTCGCTGTCGGGCGACAGACTCATGTCTGAGGTGTGGTACGGACCTTGCCGTACCACTCAGTGTGGTAGTTACTGATATCGACCAAGCGTTCGAGGCTTGCTCGGCGTCTCGGGTCATGCCCAGCTGGTCGGAATTGCTGGGGGTCTTCCAACAGCAGCCACCAAAAAGCCATCCTCGTTCGGAAAGGTCGCAGAAGTTGCACTCGTCTCGGTCGTGCAGGTTTCGGGCAGAGTGGGTGGCTAATAACGATAGATATGATGTCGAAGGCTCTCTTAGCAACATCGCTTATCAGTTTTGGCTGCCTGTGGCCATTGGTTTTTACGTGTGCTGGATTACCGATTGGTGGTGTAATGTCTATGGTTGCTGTGGCTATTGTATTAGCTCTAGAGGAATACAAGTTCGAGGTTGATATTGATAAACCAAAACAGAACAGATATGTGTGTGAAGGGTTCGGCCTTCGAGAATGTGTCGCTCGAAAAAGGTATGTGGACGACTTATGTTTGGTATCGAAGTGTTGGTGCTGCGAATGTCTTCGGAATCTCGCATCGATCACTTATGTTGAAAAGCTATTCCCCGTCTCGGACTCATCGCAAGGACCGGTTACGTGGGTGGATATGGAACTCAGGGTGATCGGCGGAGGCCTCTTGATTTTGCCGGAAAATGTCAACCGCAAAGCACTTTTGGAGTTTGGTGCCTCGGGATATTTTGACTGGTCGTCTTTCTCTTCGGTGTTTGTTGAATGGCCAGGTGCGATGCCGCGTGGGTTTAATATGATTCGATCGGTCCTCTTGGGACGGATAAGTAGGTGTCAAGCACAAGAGCTGGGGGAAGGTATTTTGGAGATCTACATGTTGGAAACGATAATAGAATTGCATTTGGTCAGATACCCACGTACGTTGATCCGTGCCCTCATCCATAGCCTTCCTGTCTCAAGCGGTGTGGTGTCCGCCCGACGGGCCTTCCGCCGCTGGTGCAGCATGGGGAAACGCCAGAATGATTCCAATTGGGGCGAACATAATGCAAAAGGCAATGGAAGCTGGCGCGACAAAGATCGTGGATATGGTGGTAGACGAGGCAGCTACCACAGGGATCGTAGCTACGACTACTACGATCAGAAGCGAACCCAGTCGCCTCGCGAAGGAAGGCGCAGGCGTTCCCCATCGACCTCACCAGAGAGCAGAACGGCAAAGGAGCTGGAGAGGGCGAAGAAACTCGTGCGGGAGCATTCACCGACGTACAGGGCGGCCATCGAGGCGAAGGCGAAGGAGAAGGAGGATAAGAGGAAGGAGGAGATGCTGGAGCAAGGGAAAGTCCTGGCGGAGGCGCTCGGGAAGCGCTTTGAGGACGTGCTGAAAGCTGTGGTGCCAGCGGAGCCGGTGACACCATCTCCGACACCGCACTCGCGAAGGATGGAGTCTCCAGGTGGATCGACGGCCGCGTCTCCAGGGCCGACGAGGCCAGCATCATTCCCGCCTACTCCACCAACTTCGGGGACCATACGCCGTGGAGTACCAGGAGGAGTACCAGGTGAAGAACAGAGTGATGTATGTACGATCTTGTCAAAAGATCGGGTAAGGTGGATCCAAGCAGAGCTTGGAGGCAATCTCAAACTGGGCCAGACCAAGGAGGAGTTCGTTGGGGCGATCAAAGCATGCAAAGACAGGAAAGTCACCGACAAGTTGAACACGCTGTGGAAGAAGAATGGTGGACCGCCCGTACTTCCAAGGTCCATCGAGGCGCGGGCCGCGGGCCTCTTCGAGGCCTTGGTCAACATTGACTGATGGGAGTATGATTCGAACGAACCCGACTCCGAGGATGACGGTATGGCTGAGTATGCACGAGTGGTCTTTGGGAGAAAGAAACGAAGTATCCGATATCATCGTATGTTGTCTGCAATGTTGGTCATAGGTACTCTGTGTGCTATGCTTGGCATAATGGTGGGCGACCAGAGTGGGAAAAGTTATTTCAACAGTCCGCATCTGCAGATATCCTTCCAGTGGGCTAAATCACATACAATTCATCGGAGGGCCGCAGAAGACCTGGAACTGTTGGGGCAAGCGACGGGCCTGCCGATCCAAGTGACATCAAGTGCGTGGCCGGGTATAATCTCTGTCATGTTGTGGGTTGGTGCAGGTATCAAGGGAGCGAGGGGAGCCATCTTGTAAATGCCTGGGAGTCTTGTACGTACTTTGCTGGTGTTCGCAGGCGCAGGAGGCTCTTGAAGTATGTGATTGCTGAAAGCCTCCCTTTGCTTCGTCGTTCCCCAGCATAAGGGCACACACATTATCGCCGCAGCGGGGAGAGAACGAGGTCAGGAGTGCGAAAGGGGTCAAGCACTGAGAAATGGCCTCGGGTGAGGATCGAGGGATCCTGAGACATTTCACTGGCTCAAGCCAGTTTAGAGCAGCAGTGCCGTGTGCGGGCATCAGGTGCTCCACCGTACACGGCACGGCCTGGAGCGAACGCTCGCTGCTCGGAGGTGGTTGAAGAAAAATCGATTATACGTGTTTCTCTTCTGAGTACCGCATCCCCTTGTAGACACACACACACAGACACAGACACAGACACAGACACAGACACAGACACAGACATGGACACAGACACAGAAACAGACACAGACACAGACACGGACACAGACACAGGCACAGGCACAGGCACAGGCACAGACACAGACACAGACACAGACACATACACACACAGACACAGACACAGACACAGACACAGACACAGACACAGACACAGACACACACAGACACAGACACAGACACAGACACAGACACAGACACAGACACAGACACAGACACAGACACAGACACACACACAGACACACACACACACACGCACACACACACACACACCACACGCAGGGGTAGGAGAGGGAGGACACTTGGACGAGACAGCGCTGGAATACACCTGGCACGTTCACGGCCTACACATCTTACGTGCACATAACTAATCACAGCCGCACACGCACACGATTCATACGTGTAGGATTCGCACGGCAGATGTGGCAGCCGAACCGTTTCCTCGACACCAGAGGGGGCGCGCACGGGATGGTTCCTCTGCGGTGCCTCTGTATACGACACGATCCCAGGACGTGGCAGGCGTAACTTTTCCTCGACACCAAGAGGGGGTGCGCTGGGGGTGGGGCCGCTATCTGCGCCAATATCGTAATCTGTGGCACAGTCTCAACCAATCTCAGCCAGAAAGGTCCCCAGAACATGTCGTTTAAACCACACCACTGGGTTCTTAGAACATTGTTTGGTGGGCCTCTAGGCGAGCTTGGACGCGTCGCCACTGCTCGAGGATGACGGGACGCACGGAGACATACTGATACTGCACGTCCTCCTCGGAGGCGCGCGCCCGACCCGAGCATGTAGTATACCCACCTTGTGGTAGATCGTTTCCCGAGCGGTTTGGCCAGAAAACGCCCGCCACGACGCACATACTGCAAGACTTCTCAGTGCGCGCGTCGCCCCTGGGGGGGGGGGGGGGGGCGACGGACACATAGTATTAGCATGTTGGGGTGACGCCGACCGTACGGAGAAACTCACGGCATCGGATGTCTGGGCAGAGGCATCGGCTCTTCCCCAGGAAGATGATGATGCTGATGATGATGAAGATGAAAATGCTGACGATGATGATGACGATGATGATGATGATGATGATGATGATGATGATGAATATGATGATGCTGATAATGATGATGACGATGATGACGATGATGGTACTGGTGGTGATGATGATGATGATGATGGTAATGGTAATGGTAATGATGATGTTAGTGATGATGATGACGATGACGATGACGATGATGATGATGATGATGATGATGATGATGCTGCTGCTGCTGCTGCTGCTGCTGATGCTGATGTGGCGGCGCTTACGCTGGACACTGCTGTGCGAACGGAAAGAGGTAAGCCAGGCAACTATGATTGTTTTGATCACGGCAGATTGCCATGCTGGCGGGGTCCCCGTTTTGATGAGGTCCCGCAGAGGCTCTTCAAGAACAAAAGGATGTGGGATGTCCCAGGAGGCGGGGCGTTAACTGGAGAGGGTCGAGGCGAGGACATCAGGGAAGAGGGAGGCTCGGAGGGACGAAGATGGATCGCTGCTGGGTCGCGGGTGGGTCGCAGGTGGGTCGCGGGCCGGGTCGCGGGCGGAACGACGACAACAAACAACAAACAACACACAACACACAACAAACAACAGATAACAAACAACACGCACCCAACAACACCACCACCACCAACAACATCATCAACAACAACAACATCAGCAATAGCAACGACGACGACGACAACAACATCAACAGCAACACCAACAGCAACATCAACAGCAACAACAACAGCAAAACCACAAACAACAACACTCCGAACCGCGGAACCTCACTTCAACGATCCGCCCCGCGGACAGTGAATGACCGTTCGGCCCCCTCATTCTGAATTATATACTATACACATCGAGGAGGATGAAGAGGAGGGGGCGAGAATGAGGGAGAAGAAGGATACTGGAGCTGGGGGGTAGAGGGCCAGAGATGACAGGGAATGACATGGACTGTCATGCCCCCCCCTTCCCAGGCCTGGACTTCTTGTTGTCCGCACTGTTTGGCGCCCCTGGGTCCGAAACTTGCTCCAAACCGACCCGGCAGTCCACGACGATGTACATAGCACGGGCACTTAGACCCCTCTCCGAAAGGTGGAGGAGGAAGAGGAAGCGCAGGAGCAAGAAGGACAAAAAGGAGGGAGAGGAGAAGGACGAGGAGGAGGAGGAGGCAGAGGAGGATCTTGAGGATGACGGAGGAGGAGAAATACGAGGAGGGGGTGGAGAAAGAGAAAGCAGATGAGCGCCAGCACACTGAAAGAGGAGGCAGATGAGGTTGAGGAGGTGGACCAAAGTAAACTCAAAACTCATCAACGATATTTCATCACACACTTCCTCCAACTTCCCTCTCCACTGGCCCCTACAAGGATTCATCTTCACTGAGGGAATTGCCCTGTTGAAGACAACCGTTTGGAAATCCTGAGCTGTGCCGGAACACGCTCCCTGGGACTTCAACGCCGCGAGTCACCGTTACTGTTGCGTCTTGACGAGCCTTAATCTTGCCAGAATGCCAATCAACGTAACTGGTGCGCACTGACGGTCCGACATCGTGCCAAAAACACATCTCTGGGACCTTACTCATGAGAAGCCTTGGAACGGTTGAAAACTCTCAAGAAGAATGCGCGCGGCGCTGAGGCGATAGCCACATGATGAAACTGATAAGCCACCATCTGTGAAACTCTTGCACATGTGTAACACGAATGTGCGCGGCGCTAGAGGGGACAACCACATGCTGGAAACCACCCGCCCTCCATCCGTGCAACTCTTGCAAATATTTACAACATATGTGCGCGGCGCTCAGGCGAGAACCACATTTTGAAAACGGCACGCCCACTATCCGTGAATATCTTGCATTTGTTTTACACGGATGTGCGCGGCACGAGAGCGAGAACCGCATTCTGAAAGCGGCCCGCCCTCCATCCGCGACACTGTTACACATACACATGTTCAACTTAAAGATCATGAATGGTGAGGAATGCACAAGCGAAACACCCGGCCCGCCCTTTCGACCGGCCTCGGGATGCGACGGGGAGGAGTTATATATATATATATATGTATATACATATATATATACATATATATACATATATATATATATAAAAGACAAAGAATTGAGGAGGAGGAGGAGGAGGCGGACGAGGAAGAGGGTCTGAAAGAGGACGAGGAGGACGAGGAGGAGGAGGAGGAGAAAGAAGAGGAGGATGGAGGAGAAGGGAGGAGAAGGGCGGAGAAGGGAGGAGGAGGGAGGAGGGGGAAGGAGGAAGGGGGGGGCGACGCTCGCACGATGCGCGGAAAATTGCGGGGCCCGCCTCCCGCAGGATGACACTCAGCGGGGCGCCGGGCGCGCCCCCGATCAGCAGGCCGAAGGCGCTACATCGCACGGCCCGGGCCTTCCTGCCCCCGCTCCGGCGGGGAGGCGACGACGCGGGCGCGGGCGACGACGACGGCGACCGCGCGGCGACGACGACGGCGGCGACGCGGACGCGGACGCGGACGCGGACGCGGACGACGACGACGACGACGACGAAAAAGAAGAAGAAAAAGAAGAAGAAGAATAATAGTAATAAGAATAATACTAAGAAGAATAAGTGGTCTCGCCGCACCGACGCTACGCAGCCAAAGAACAGCAGGCGAGACCCTCGAAAACTTTGGCGGCTTCGCCAAGGCATAGACACATCTCGGTTTGACTTCCTTGTCCCTCTCACGTTCCCAGGGCAGTGCTTATGCTCCATCGGGGGCGTACAAGACGGAGGGACGGCTCCAAGAGGGGGGGGCGCAAATCACGGCTGGCGGCACGTGCGCGACCCAGGGAGGGGCCAGGGACGTCTTGAAGTAAGACGGGGCGTCTGGGGAGATGTCACGGCCCCCGTCATGAGGAGGAGGAGGAGGAGGAGGAGGAGGAGGAGGAGGAGGAGGAGGAGGAGGAGGAGGAGGACGGGGAGCAGGGAGGAGGAGGAGGAGGAGGAGGAGGAGGAGGAGGAGGAGGAGGAGGAGGAGGAGAGGAGGAGGAGGAGGAGGAGGAGGAGGGGAGGAGGATATCCTCCTGCTCTAAACTCAAGAAGCCCAAGGCACCCTGGGGTTTTCCGTCAGGACAGCGGCTCGGGCCGCGGAGCCGGTCTTGGAGAGAGCCCTCCTCCTGCTCCTCCTCCTCCTCCTCCTCCTCCTCCTCCTCCTCCTCCTCCTCCTCCCTGAAACAAGAACCGGCACAGACAGAAAACTTTCAGAGTGACGCGCGGATGTTCACGGATCGGCGCCAGGCTGCCCCCACCATGGCTAGCCGTCGCAGAACCGCCGGGACCCAAGAGACCCAGGGCACCCTGGAGGCGAGCAAGGTGCTTCTCGGCAGGGGCCTCCGCCATCAGCAGATCAGCTCGGCCGCCTCCTCTCCAGACCCCCGACGTCGGGACCTTTTTAAAACAGGGCTAGGATCGGGATAAATCGCTCCAGAGCGTTCCGAAGCGCTCTCAGAGAGTTCCGGAACGCTCTGGAGCGGCCGCGGCGCCCAATACATCCTCCAAACCCGTTGGTTCTTAGAGATTTCGAATTATCCCGATCCGATGTTGTCCCGATCTTCGCGTGTTTGACCTTTGTTACGACGTCGTTGCCCCCAGAGGTCCAAACCCCGTCCCCGGGGACCGGTTTCTCCTCCCGCGTCGCTTTGTTGGCGTTCCTGGGGCCCGGAAGCGCGGCCCCCCCGAAGGCCGCAGATGGCGAGAGACCTCCCGCCGTGCTGTTTCACTGTACGTCAAGGGGTCTGGGAGAGGAGGAGGAGGAGGAGGAGGAGGAGGAGGAGGAGGGAGGAGGAGGAGGAGGAGGAGGGGAGGAGGAGGAGGAGGAGGAGGAGGAGGAGGAGGGAGGAGAGAGGAGGAGGTGGTGGAGGAGGGGGAGGAGGAGGAGGAGGAGGAGGAGGAGGGGAAGGAGAAGGAGGGGGAGGTTGTTGGGGACGGGCCTGAAGCCGCTGATCCAGGATCAAACAAAATCGGAGGCGTCCGAATCGGTCTCCTCATCACGAGGGGCTTTGGGACGCACAACGGCCTCGCCACGGTCTCTGACCCAAGCGAGGTCGGCCTCCACGAGCCCGAAAGAATCCAAAACTTGCTCCCTGCAGTCGTACCCACCCTGGGAGTCGAATTTACCTGACTGGCTGTCCCGCTGGGCCCCAGGACCTCTCGACATCAGCGCAACCGCCAGAGTCCGCCGCTCGACGAGGGAGAGGCCCCCATGGGGCCCAAGGAGCAGCCCTTTCAGGCCATGCCTATACGAGGGAAACTTCGACAGACGAATTCTCCTCAACTGATCGCTGAGCCCACCCGTTGCGCCCGTCTTGGGTCTACAGGGGCCTTGCAATCCTTTCGAGGGGTTCCCCCCCGAGCAGAAACTGCCACACTTTACACAAAACTGAAGCCTCCTCTTGGTGTTCCCAACAGCGTCCAAAACTTTGGCCCCCAGTAGGGCATGGCCGCTACATCGGAACACCAGGAGAGCAGACGATTCCCAATCCCCCAGGTCCTCTCCCTCCACCGAGGGCCGCCCGTCCTCGGCCATGATCTGGCTGGCGAGGTCGGCTTCGGCCGCGGCGGCAGCAGGCGCTGGGGGCGGTGTGGCCTCAAGGCCAGTCGTATCCCTGCCTGGCAGAGACGAGATGGCAACCTCGAGTTGGGCCGCCCACCTCCCTGCCTCCATGGCCAGGCTCCGAAGGCCTCGCCACAAATACATATCGTCGTCAGTCCGCCCGTGCAGATCAACGCCAGCCTTGGCGAAGGTGTCAGCATGCTGATTCGCACGCTGTTCCCATGCCGTGGTGACCCCAGACTCGACGTCGGAAGCCGTCGCATGGGCCTTCGTCTTAAAAGCCTCGAAGTCCCCTTGGCCAAACGCGGACCAGAACGGGCCCCAGAGGTCACCTCTCGGCGCCCCAGGACCCACGGAGCACCCAGGACCGTTGGCCAAGGAATCCAGAGTAGACTGACAATCTAAATACAACTGAAACGGGGGAAGACCTACCTGCGTCAGCATATACACAGCATAGCCCTCCCCATCCTTACTAGTCTGCTGGGGGGCGGCACTCACAGGTACAAGACCATATGCAGCCGATATCGTATTCCCAAACCGATCTACGCTGCATATAGCCCACCCCGCTCTAGACATGCCCTCCAGGTTGGCCCACTTGGCGGACCCGTCGAGGAACAGGAGTCCTGAACGCACGCCTGCCGAGGGGCGATTGTGCCACCGAGTGCTCTCGTAGGCCTCTGGGAGCTCGAACAGGGCCTGTGGGTCAGGAAATATCCCTCGGGCAAACCTTTCACTGAGGATGGGCAGGTCTTTTACTCGTGCGGCACATTGCTTCAGCCTGTGTTCTACGTGATCTCTGCGGAGGTGCTCATGAGCAGGACACTCATACTGACGGTGCCATAGCGTACCAGGTGCTCCTCGACAGAGCTGACAAAGGTGGTCTGGATGCAGCCCATGATTGCACAGCCTCGCCTGAGGCCAGTGAACACCTGAAACCAGACCATGGAGACACCTCTGGTGATGCTTCGTCCAAGATGCTCCCTTGCTTTTTCGTCAGCTTCCGAATGCCGCTCCAGAAGATGGGAGCCAGCGGGGGCCCATTCGGGCCGTTCTGGGTGCTGAGGGCATGTCGATCATATTCCCGAAACGCTCCTTGCCTTACCACAACTCGGATTTGCATCGGGGACACCTGCAGCAGGTTATACTCGACTCTGGGGTCTGACACGATGTGGGTGCTGCCCTTTCAGTCCCAGCCCATGCCCCTGAAACCGAGCAGGGCCACATCCGAAGGTGATGCACAACTGCGCCAAGGATAATCCGTCTTTGACAACTCGAGACGGCCACCTTGCATCGTATTTGCCAGGACTTGCGCATTCGGGACTGCCTCCCAGATCGCCGTAGCCCACCAGAAGATCACATGCCCCACATATACGATCAAAGGGTCTACCTTGGGCCCCAGGTCGTATGTGTGCACCCTGAGCCCCACAGAGGCCCCACGCGGTAGGCGCTCCAAGGATGATACTGCAGACACTCTGAGCCCTGCCATTCGAGTCGGCGCAATGCCCGATACGCTGGAGCCCCATACTGCCACTGCAGTGGGCCCCATACGATGCACCATGGCAATATCTGCACCTGCGCTCTGCAAAATCTTCAGCCGACGGGCTCTGGACGACGCCTTCGAAAGCCGAGTGTTCTGAATGCTGATCCTCCGAACTCTTCCAAGAGTAGCGGTTGTCCCAAGGTTCCTGGTTTAATCAGTTCTGCATGTTGCAGGCAGTGTCCACAGCCCGCGCAGATGCTGATCCACCTTCCTGGTGCAGAGGTAGGCGCACTTCTTAAACCCGACTGGGAGCTGCAACTCCTCACAAGACTTGAATAGCGACTCCACTCCTCCTGTCAGCTGCGTGGCGACCTGGGGCTTCGGCCCGCATGTCTGCAATGTGATATCGTCCACGACGTTTCGCATATGCAACAGGTGCCTGTGCTCTCGTGCCTCCAGCAAAGGGCCTAGCAGCAGCACCTTGGCGAAGGTGGTCGCTCCTGAGCAACCAGCCACTACTGCACCGTTTGCGCACGGTACCTCCGAGGCTGCCCCACCGCACAGGAGCACGTGGAAGCCAGCGCAGATACAGCAGTACCCTCGCAAAACTCTGGCGGGGAAGTGGAACCTCTTGACAGCAACCAACAAGTGTTCGTGAACCACATTCTCGTAAAACTTGGCTAGGTCCAGGAGGGCCGATGTCGAGGAGAACCCAGAGGCCTTGCAATGGGCTCCCAAGAGGTTGTGGATCCACCCAGCTCGCTCACACGTCGTGTCAGGTCCTGATCCCCAGAAGAACTGGAACACGTGCGATTTCTCCCAAGCCTTGCAATATGGCTGCCTCAGGCGGCTCCAGGGCTTCATGAAGAAACAAAACAGTCCAATAGGCCGTGCCCCGCCCGTCGGTTTGTCCAAGAAAACCACATTGGTCAAGAACATAAGACCGAGGTAGGCTCAACCTCGAACACCGTTTAAACCCCCAGGAGGCGCATCTGGTGACTCTCGGGCAACTGCAAGACCCACCTAGGGTGAAAGCCATCCCAGCGCCTGGACTATACTTGCGGCACACTCGCAGCAGGTCTGAGAGCCGAAGGGGGGCGAGGTCAGGTTCATCTGGTGGTATCTCCCAAGTGGAGGGGTGAGGCCCTCGACCGTCGACTTGCCGCAAGGGGGCCCACTGCTGCAATAAACGACGCAGCGCGGCCTGTCCAGCCGCTGGAAGATCTTCGCCGTCGCCGCACGCCCAGAATGACACGACACCTGCTTCTTCGAAAATGCGTGGGCGGCCTTGCCCCCTCCAGCTACAGCCTTCTTGGCCCAGGCCTCCCACCTGGCCATTTGATCCACTGCGTCCAGCTTTTGGCGACGAGAGACCTCAGTGTCGAGCGCCTCGAAGGCCCCGTCCTCGAAGGTCCCCGTACTGGCTGCCAAGACGGCCATCCCCTGGAGAGAAGTCTTGCTCGCGTTGCCGTCCTGGAAATCCAAGTCCTGGATGGTAGCCCTTAGCTTGGCACCCCAGGCGCCGAGGAGCTGCTTGCCCTTGGCCCCAGGGGTCCCGCGGGCGATAGTACTCGCTTTCCTGATCAGGGTCCCTAAGGCCGTCCAGGAAGCGGCCTTTACCGAAAACCTTCGCCGCACGCTTCGTTCCAGCAGCGCTGAAAGGGAAACCCTCTTGGTCTTGGGCCCTGCCGTGCGGCCAGCGTAGGCCCTGCCGTCCTCGATCCCATGAATCTCCAAAAGACGACGCAACGCATCGGAACAAAACACTCTTTTGCTAGCCAATCAAATCCATGCTCGAGGGGATCTGACCACTCGACTACATGCTCGTCTGGGAGGGGGGCCATTACCGTCATGTCGAACGGCTTGAAACGCACCTGCTGGTCCACGATCGTGGACGCGCTGACGTCTCTCATCCGCAAGGCAACAGGGCTGTGTGGAAAAAAGCGGTACCTCGCTGACTACCTGCACCTCGCCAACGCAGCTAGCGATCGCTTTGCTCACAACGAAGTAATCCAATATTCGACCTCCCTTGTCATGAACTGCGAGCCCTCCTTCTCCTCCCTCCTGCTGACTGCGCTGCGAAGGCAAGCGCGTGGGCGAATCGGGGGCAGCCGTTACGCCGTGCACGTGCTCGACCCAGCCCGACAGCTCCAAGGCATCAGGCGTGACATCCCAGTCTGCCTGCACTACCCAGGCACGCGTGCTGCGCGGGAGGATCGCTCCTAGAATCTCGAGGATCTCTAAACTCTCCCCTGTGACACCTATGTCGTTGGCGAGATAGACATTGTATACTTCCAAGCCCGCCGGGGACCCTATGTTGATCAGCCTGTCCGTTATGCGGCCGTCGAGTTGCCCAATACTTGGGAGCTCCAGATGACTAGACCCTACCTGAGAGTCCACCAATATGCCTACTCCTCCTGAGCTCTGCAAAGGCCCACTCCCAATAGCCAGCGCCTTGCCCAGAGACAGCCGATAACTATGAGAAGTCGCCCAACTCTCGGCCCCGAGAGTCTCGTCCGCAGCTTTCAACCTGGTCTCCTGAACCGTCACGATCGCAAACTTTCCCTGGCGCACTTGCGGCCCCCAAGGGCTGGACACGCTTTTAGCCGATAGGTCCCTGAGCCGGCTGGCCACAGCGTCTGTCGTAGTCCAGGAGTTCACGTTCATACCAAGCAAAAATAAATGAGCTGGTGGCGCGTGGTCCGAGCCAGCTAGAATATTACGACCAGGCACGCACGCTCTGTGCTCAAGGCCACGCCTGTCGGATTTTGACAGTGATATTTTCGAAGCCGCATCGAGCTCCACTTGGGGAAGAGGGATTGCACCGCCATGTGAGTGCTGCGTCCGCAAAACTCCCTGCCCCCCCCCCCCCCCCCTCCCCTCCTCACGCGCTGGTGCCCCCGCCTCCTGTGGAAGGGGTGCCCTGGAGGAGGGCGGGGTGGGTGGCGACTGAAGAGCCTGACGGGGAGAACCTCCACCGCCAGGGCTCGACGCCCTGACGCCAAGCGTAGGACCAGTCGACGCAGAAGCTGTCGCCGAGGGAGGTGCCGCAGATGAGCCTGCCAAAGCCGACGGAGTCCCACACCTCGGAAGCCTCGAGGACGTCGCCGAAGATCCTGCCGCCGATGACGACGCGCCTGAAACCACCGCGCTGCGTGCACTTGCCCCCCGCCCCGAGGAGCGGGCCAGTGGGGGAAGGCTAGCGCCGCCCGTAGTCGCCGTAGGGCCTGTCCATGACAAGGTACTCATCGACGATGTGGGCAAGGAGGTGTGACTTTGAGGGGCTGAATCCCCCCCCCCCCCCCTCCTTGCCCTGAGCCACGCTTGCTGCGCGCGGTGTTCCACGACGCGAAGGCAATCCCGACGACGCCAGCGCAGGCCAAGCCTGAGGGCCCAGCAAGCCGCCACCGCCTGCGGGTGCCAAGCCCCCGCGCTTCACGACTGGTGCGTCCAGCGTTCCCGAGATTGCCTGGTCAGGCCTCGGGCGAAGGGCAGGCACTGCAAAGCCAAGCGCCTCGCTCCAGTCCACGTCCACGACGTTGCAGCTCCAGAAGCGGTCGAGCGCGTTGTCAAATGCGCCGCGCTCTCTTGATCCCCAGAGCTGCCGCTGCCTGAGCGTAATTGCGCTTGGCGGCCTCCTGCTCCTTTCCTGGCGCGGCAGCTCGAAGTTCTTCTCCTGACTTTCGGAGGTCCTCCGCCCGCTGCTCCCGGTCACCATCCTCCAGCAGCTCCGCGTCGATGTCGTCGCCATCTCCGTCCGCGGCTGCGATCTCAGCGCCATCAGCTCGTGCTCCCCCTGAGCCGCTGCCACGCTGGGCAACACCCCCAGGAGCACTACCGCCAGGCATCAGAGAAGGAGGCCCCTGAGATGCTGCCTTGAGGTCCAGCGCCTCCTTCTGGAGCTTCTGCAGGTTTGCGAGAGCTGACTTCGCCTGCTCGTTGTCGAGGACCGAGGGCTCAAGTGCCGCCGAAGTGACCTTGACCACGTCATTGATGTCATTCGCATGCACCCGAGAGTAGACCTTCTCCGCCACTGTGAGCTCTTTCCTGAGCTCATCCAGCGTCGTGGTGATCGTCGCCTCCTCTTCGAGCAGCTGCTTGCGGCGCTCCTCAAGCTTCCTCTGCAGCTGCTCCTGCTTCTCGATCTTCTTGCGCAAGCCTTCAGTCCTGGGCCTGCTTCTGGGAGATCGCTTGCACCACTGAATCCTCAAACTTCTTCTCCTTAAGGAAGACGAGGACATCCTTGTACGACAGCCCACTCGATGCGTTGCCTGCCGCTGGCTGCTGCTGCGGAGGTTTGTCACGTGCAAGGAGGCTGTCGATCTGCTTCTGCATCGCTGCGATGGTCTTGGCGGAGGTGCTGGCAGTGGGCCCAGGCGCACCGCCCTTGCCGCCGCCGCCTCCTCCACCTTTGCCACCTCGAGCCTGCTTGGCTGCCTGCTGGGCGGCTTGAACGGCTCTCTGCGGCGCTGAGTTCCCACATTGCCGACAGCGTATGCGGGAGGCCCAGTTGTCATACGTACCACACTTGCCGCACCCCCAGTGGGGGAGGCGCGGTCCAGGAAGGACATCAGGCCCCATCCACGCGGCGTCTTGCGCAGGGGGCGAACGTTTGGCTCGTGCCCACGAGCCGCTTCGAAGCACGTGGGCACAAGCTCAAGCTCTCCTCAAAGATAGCTCGAGCCGAAACGGCTAGAAGGAGGGGGAGGAGGAGGAGGAGGAGGAGGAGGAGGAGGAGGAGGAAAAGGAGGAGGAGGAGCAAGAGGAGGAGGAGGAGGAGGAGGAGCAAGAGGAGGAGGAGCAGCAAGAGGAGCAAGAGGAGGAGGAGGAGGAGGAGGAGGAAAAGGAGGAGGAGGAGGAGGAGGAGGAGGAGCAAGAGGAGGAGGAGGGGGAGGAGGAGGAGGAGGAGGAGGAGGAGGAGGCGGAGGAGGAGGAGGAGGAGTGGGTCATGGCGGCCCCCGATTCCAAGGAACTGGCAGGCGTTTCTGGGTTTTCCGCCCGTGGCCGCCCGGGCCCGCCTTGCAGCCGCCGCGTGCGCTGGCCGGCTTTTTTTTCAGGGCCTTCGGCCGGTGGCCGCCGCTGGTCGCCTGGAGGCCGCCACGTGTGCGCAGGGTTTCGGGACTCGTGGCGCAGGGCTCGAGTAAGAGATCGACTACAGAGTTGATGTACCCAAATGATTAATGTTTCCCATCGGATCTACGACGAATGCGTTGCATGTTCGCAAATCTCCTGAGAAGTCCAAGTATTTGTCCGCAGCCTCGACGAGTATCCCAGACATGCGACGTCCTGATGATTTCAGGACGGCGTCCCCAGAAGTCCAGGCCCTTTCCCTGGGGCCGATTCTTCATCCTGGGTTGTTTTTCGACGCTCCCGGGCAACAGCGAGGGCTCCTCGGGGGCTGAAGGTAGCGAAAAACCGCCCGCCCTGATTCTTTTTACGACGCGATCACGTCTGGGACTAATTCTGGGGTGCATCAATTCTGGAGTCGATCCCCTGCTCGAGTGGTGACGTGGCCGCCTCGTGCGCGTTGGGAGGGTGCGGAAAGGGGTTCTGCAACACCGCACGCTCCGGCACGAGGAGCGCCCCGAGCCCTCTGGCACTGCGCCCGGGGACTCTTGTGGCAGGCGGCGCCGTGCCCCACCGGAAAGAATTAGTCCTCCTCCTCCTCCTCTCCTCCTCCTCTCCTCCTCCTCCTCCTCCTCCTCCTCCTCCTCCTCCTCCTCCTCCTACCCTCCTCCTCCTCCTCCTCCTTCCTCTCTCCTCCTCCTCCTCCTCCTCCTCGTCCTCCTCCTCCTCCTCCTCCTCCTCCCTCCTCTCTCATCTTTCCTCCCTCCTCCTGGCACTGCGTTCGGGGACTTGTGGCAAGCGGTGGCGTGCCCCACCGAAAAGAATTCGAACATTCCCCCCTCCCTGGCGAGGACGGACAGATCGGCTCCACTCCGCGCAGTTTGCACGCAGTTCTGCCGCACGGCCGCTTCTCGTAGATATCAGCTCACAGCATGCCAGCAAGGCCAGTATCGCCCCGCGCCCCCCATCTCCTGCAACAGAAACTATGCGGTGCAAGTGCCGTTGATTCAAGACATGCACTTCTAGAACCCCCTTCGGAAGATAATGCGATGCGGAACACGTGCGCATGCAGCAGCGCGCGCACGTCAAAATAATTCCCTAACCTTTGGTTTTCTAGCCATGCCAAAACTATCCTAAACACATCGTTTCCCAATCAGAACTACTGGAATTGTGAGCCTGCGCACTTGCGGAAGTCATAAAGAGGCATCGGTGCTCAACTATTCTGTCAAGTGAGCGCTTTCTTATTCGGCATTTCGACATTTGGGGGGCAGTCTGGCTCCGGACCTCTGCTTCATACGGCTGCTTGCAACAGTGCGTCCTTTTGGGGAGACCCCACCTGCTGAAACAGGCGACAAGAACAGCCAACCCCAGGGGGGGGGAGGGGATGCGAGGGCCCGCGCCGACTGGAAAAACAGTGGATAAGAAAACGGTCGCATCCTTCTTAGACAATTTCTGCACGTCTGGGTGTCCTC